GCAATTTAGAGTGATTTATGATGGGCCCTCCATGGATGTCTAACGTAAGTTCAGTATGACAGACTCATTAGAGTAGCCTTTTGCAAAACTGTTTTTACAGAAAAACAGATGGCTTAGGCAAACAGCAGCACAAGGATGTGTTATAAAGCTGATCAGGAGAGGACATTTTGATCCAACCTCTTATCTTAAACAGTAAAGCTGTTTTGAAAGTTGTTCCTGCAAGTTCTTCTCATACCCAGAAGTTACGCAAAGAATTCTGGGATCCATCCACATTTTCATTCTGATTATATGAAAAAGAAAATTGAAAAGTTTTTCTACACCATAGGCAGAAAATCTGTTGAGCTAATCAGTGTGTATAGAAAGCACACAGGCCTTAATCTTTAAGTCACTTAAGGAACCACCTATGGAAGGATCAAGCAGAAATATCTGCAATCCTAAGGTTATCCATCCATTTTCCTAGGTTTGGGCACTAAAGAACTTTGGAGATAAAATTTAGGCCTAGCTGTTACAACACAGCTGCACCTGAATAGCAATTTTTCCTCAAAACCAAAATTTCTGACAATAGCAGTAATTTAACAGCTGAGAAAATAGTAAGGAAAGATCTGTGTGACTTCCTCCTTCTAACTCCCTTATTAACTATGTAGCAGTCTTTTGATTCAGTTGTCTTATTTTACCTCCCAATACAACCCAGAAGAAACTATGGTCATTCTATTCAGTATCTCTCCAGCAAGATAGTTTGATTACTGCTTCCTGCCACAGCATACAAATGGATCAGTTACCTCCTAGCCACGAGCTCTATTGTTCCATTCTTTTATTGAAAATACTCATCTTCAGAGCACAGAGAAGTTCACTGACTATTAAAACATGCAAGAAAGTATTCCAAGAAATTAAATTATAAGAAGTAATAATTGTTGTAGAGCTAAAATCCGCCAATAAAGAAGGTTCCTCTTTTTACCGTGAACATGTGTATCTAAAAAATGTTACTCAATTATGATCCAGATTTTGCAAGATTTGCACATATTGAATTGTCATTTTTCCTAGGAACCATCCTGCTTTCTGTAACTCCAGTAACTTCCCTTGCACGGACTGGTGTTGCACTCCAGAAGTGAACACAGCTGCTGAAATCAATGGAGCTGCCCACAGAGACATTCATTTATTCCAAGCACATGTAGGAAAAAGTGTTTGCTCTTCAAGAATGAAATGTCAGCCTCAAGAAAATCAATAATGGATTTGCAAGTGATGTCAACAGGGTCAAAATATCACTCATAGCATTAGTTCATACAACAAAATATGCACAACTTTAATACAGTCGCAAACTAGATTACATTTTAATTATTGATTAGGCAGGCTACATTTTAAGACCAATGGCAGGTGCCTGACAAATGCATAATGAAAGATGGAAATATCTGCAAAAGGAATCACAAAGACCAAGACACCGACATGCCACACATGCTCTGGAAGAAACACCGTAAATTAAATGGAATATACTAACTTACCTTTAGAAAGATTTCGTTAATTCTTCTGCTTCAGTTTGTACCTGGGAAGCTGCTTGACAATCTGCTTGTTTTCAGCACCATTTTGCCTTTCTCTTCTATTAGTAATATAGTTGAATTAAATGAAATGCATTTGTTGGAAGTTGCTTCCCCAACAGTTAATTTGACAGGAGGAGCAGCAAGGCCTTTGGCAGTGATGTCTTTCCTTCTGTTGCTGTAGCAGAGCTCATGATCTCAAAAGACAAATCTTGCAGTCATCTTTTCTTACTTGGTATCTCTTCAGCACTGTGATTGGGCACAAAGAAGTTCTAAGTCTTTCATTTTACTTATTTTAGTAGTTAGGCACCTTTTTTTTTTTTTCCTACAGGTGAGACATTAATTAAGAACCCTAAGAAATGGAACCAGAACATCAGGGGTTCCTTTTCTTTCTCTTATTTCTCCTTGGTTTCAAAATCCAGAATCGCATGTTGACTTTGTTCAAAATCATTCACCACTTTGCTTAGTTAATAATTTAGTTGACCTGGGTGAAGGTTAATTTAACAATTTAGTTGATAATTTAGCTAGATGATCACTTATCCAGTTTACAGTTTCTTGATAATCTAGTTTAGCCACCCCCTTGGCTTCTGGATTCAGCACCTTTTTCTGTTGAAATGGAATGCATTTTGCATTCTGCTTGCACCGTGCTCCCCCAAGTATCTGGTTCCACCATTGTGGCAGGGGCACTTTGGACAGGGTACTATATAATCTTGTCTACATTCCCTTTTCCCATGAAAGACTGGAGTTTCGAGGTCCTTTTTAAACCAGGCTATTCTACGATTCTATTCAGTCACTGAAAACAAACTGTTTTAAATACAAGCACTTGAGCTCTACAACCTGTAGTGCTTCTGCATGTTGGATATCCAACTGCCCCCCTCCTTTGTCTTGAATAAAGTCCTTCTCTATTTGGACATTGGGTTCTGTAGAGGGAACTGAGCTGGGCTCCCTCTGGCTGTGCTGGGGTTGGCAAAGCCATATCAGCCCTCCTGAAAGTGGCAGTGGAGAATGGATGCTGGGGCTGCATCCCACAGAGCCATCATCACCAGCCCTGATACTGCTTTGCTGCCTTTAGGGAGGAGGAGTGGAAGGAGGAGATGATGAAGCTGCTGAGAGCAGCAAAGGAGAGAAGGGAGGAGGGGACATGATCTGTCACTAAGATTTTCTTTGCCTTTTAATTATGCTCTGCTCTTACAACAAGGTTGGAGTCATACTCCTAAACCTTGTTTTGTGCATCTTTCTCCACCTCCAGATATTGGGTCAACATTCAGCTAATGGGAAAGAAACTATAAATACAGTCAGTGATTGCTCAAGTTCACCTTTGCTTCCTCAAGGGACTGACACATCCAAAAGCACTGAGCAGGACCACAGGACACAGCCTTCTTATTTGCTGAACATGAGAACATTGTCTCCCACACTAAAACAAGCTGTAATACACTGCAGTACAGAACCACACATATAGTTACTTGTCTCCATGTAGACCATCAATTCAACAGAGCAAAATCACTATTCTCATATGAATATGAATGAGGCCCCAGGATACAGTCAACTGAAGAGCAGAACAAGATGTCTTAATGTAAGATCTTTAAATTACTCTCCCCTATCAAATCCAGCCAGTACACACAGATGCTCCAATATGGTGCCTTTGAAGAGAATACTCTGGGAGACTCCATGCTTTCTTCTTCTTGGCAGACAACAAAATCTAAGACTCAGTTTTGAAACAATACATAGATACCATCATTTATTAGGTATAATAAGCATAATGGAAAGAGTTAAGATTTTCTTTTCCTGGACAGGTAACATTACATAAAGAATTGGAAGACATTTATACAAACTGTTATCCCAACTGTGTTTATTTTATTTTATTTTTTATACAGCTAGGAAATATCTTCTTAATGTATTTGCAAGCTTTTTTCTAGCCTATCCCTGTCACAAAGGCACTCCATATGAACCTGATACATCTCTCATATTTATTGATCTAAGTCAGGAGTCACCCCATAAAATTAAATGGAGTTAATTGCATTTAAAAAAAAAAAAAAAAAAAAAAAGAGGATGAATAAAATATATTAAAAAAAAAAAAAAGAAAAAAGAAGATAAAAGCCTGTGTCTTTATTAATTTTAGCTACTTAGAGGCTTTACTGAAAAAAAAATTCTCTCATTCTTTGCAGTGAAGAACATTTGGCAGGACACTTTCCAAAGTACAGTTACAAAATTGCACATGTATTACAAGATAATAATTCTATCTAGTTAAAGATTTCAGTAGGAGTTCTCTTTACAGAAAGCAAGACATTGAGTATTATAAAGCTAGGGTTAGCAATACAGAAGCCAGCAGTTTATTGAGTATACCTCATTGCTTTCAATATACCCAGGCTTGCAGCGCTGTTGAATATAAGATACTGAAAGGTATCTTATATGTGACGGTCTTACTATTACTTGGTATTTACACACATTACAGTATACAATCTCTACTTTTAGAACAGTTATAAACTTCAAATTAATGAAAAGGGCCTTTTGGCAAAAGTTTGATACCTCGAATCACAGTGCTCCAGGCCCACACCTCAGGTGTGCCAGGCTGCTGAGTGGCTTATACCTCTGCATAATTCATTCCTGACTCTTTTATCCTGAATAAAACATCTGGAACAGTAAAACAGAGCTTCCTAAAGCCATAGATTTTGATACAGCTGATCAAAGGGGCAGAGGGCCATGAAAAAAATTTGAACAAGGAGCCTCTTCAAATCAGATCTGTAGGTTGTAGAAATGTCTGGAAATCCCCTTTCTTTTGCCTGCTCTGTGCTGGCACCAACAACAGAATGCCAGAATTTTGGAGGGTGCTTGGATTACTGGTGGTCTTAGCTTACTGATGCTAACATTCAGAAATAAATACTTACATTCCAAATGGATGGGTGAAAATCAGGATGCTAGCTTTGGTAGTGGGGGTCTCTCTTGACCTGTAGCCCTACAGTTTAAGTGAATGAATGCAAAACTGGATGGAAAGTCATGGAGTGCTGGCTAACTAATTTGCTGCACTGACAGTCAGTAGATTAAGGCATTTGGTTTCTTGAAAAATCTTCAGGTTAGAGAAAATTGAAACATAAAAAATGGGATTTCTGTGAGCTAATTTTCTTCAGAAAGACGGTATGTGTTGTTTTCTTTACTGATAGTTTCTTTTCTGAATTTAATTGGAAATGTAAAAGCATATAAGATTTGATGGAATCCATATGCACCCACATTCATGGGAATGAATGAGGAAACACAAGGATTTTTTAATTTTTATAATTAATCTTCTAAGCAATCCACATCAGATACGAAAGTTCAGAAAAATAGTAAATAACTTTATTGTAAAATGCCAGTACTGTTTTTCTGTATGTATTTTAAAAGTTTCCAACCTTTTCTACTCCATCTGATGATACTATTCTGGAAAATGTAGATGGTCAGTCAGATATCTCTTGAATACAGATATATTTTTCCTGGTGTTTACGGGGAAGAGTAAAAATATGTGGGCTTCACATTACCCAAGATTTGATCTTCATAGTTAGGAAGGCAGCAGAAGAAGAATCCCAAGCATATTTCCATAATGGCAGTGGTCCAGCCAAAGCCGTAGGCCCAGCTGAACATATTGATTCCTGTCATTTCAATTTCACTGGAGAACTTCACTGGATAAATGACCAGGCCCATGATGGAGAACACAGCTGAAGAAACAGGAGGGAAAAAGTGGATTAAGCTTACACCAATCACACTGCTCACCTCCATAATAGTTGCAGCTAAATCCACCCATGTTTTGGAGGATTTGGAAATTGATCCACTGCCACGGCTGATTTTATGTTATTTTTCATTGAGAGTTCAAATGCATACTGACAGAGAACTGAGCATAGAAGCAGATAAGGAAAATACCAGTTCTAGTGTATCTGCATGAGCTAAACTTTGCTTCATGTATTGTCTTACCGGCAACAAAAAGCAAGCCTCCAATCCCTCTTATGAAGTTGAACCGAAGTGTATCAATGGCAAATGCTATGATGGCCAGAGCAAAACAGATGACAAGGAGAATGAAGCCAACAAGGTATGTGGCAGCTGCAGCTCTTCCCCAAGCTGAAACCAGAAGGAAAGCATATTAGAATGAAAAAAAAAGATGTGTTTTTCTCTGGCTTATAATGAAATGCTAATTTTAAACAAACACAAAAAGGAACTCCCAAGAGGAAAAGCATGGAAACTTTCTTTCCTCTTGGAGATGAACATTTTAGACCCAACAGAAATCATTCATAAAGCACAAAGTCTATAACTACACCATCTTTGACCAGTCCTACAGAAAGAAATGGGGCTTGTATATACGCTTCCTATTAAGGTTTAGCCATTAAGAATTGAGCAAAAACTGACTGTAGAGATTAAATAGTGGACACTCCAAGAATAAATATCATTACCTCAGCAGATGCCGTAAAACCAGCAGCATTCTGCATGAGCCAGGAGAGTTAGACCATCCCGGAAATTAATTATGTTCTTCCTTAAAAAATAAATACAAGCACTATCACTCTGGCACGCAAATCTAAAAGTATGGCAATACACCGTAAATATCAAGATTCAGAAATTTCTGCCTTTCTATCCTTCATGTAACTCTGAGAACCTAAGGATTTTGAGTCTGTTTTGTAGAAAACTTCAACCTCTCCTTTTGTTCCAACATTAGAACTGTTCTATTTTGAAAAACCTGTTCAGGATAGAAATAACTTCATTTTCAACTTATATATATTTATGTTACAACATGCCAGAGCTAAGCACAGGCTCTGGAATAACAACTGAAAAAAATACTATTTATTCAATATTTTACATCTTGAGGGGTGACGACTGCTCAAAAAGATCCAAGTGCCTCTTAATTGTACCAAGCCTACTTTGACACTTCTAAAATTGTGTATGTAAATAGAATAAGCAGTTAAATTCTGCTGGGCATTTATGGACTTCACCCCTCACCTGCACTATGTGTTTGCAAGGTATTTGCTTCTAATCAAATGCATATAACATTAAGGCTGTAAAATTACCACAGCCCAAACAAACCTGGTGATTGTTATAACTCAAATGTGGTGCTCATTGTTCACTAAAGATTAGTTATGAAACCAAGGTCCTTGAAATTTCTAGTATTCAAAAACCTACTAAGCTGACTGCTTCAATCAGAAAACTGAACTGAATGTGCCAAACACTGCCAGTTCACATTCTCAATACATACTCCATCAGTGCTGTTCATACTTCTGACATTAGAAGTACTGATCAGCAGCTTGACCAGCACCATTAGGCTGACAATAAAACAATAGTTTCGATTTATTCAACTTTCTAAAGCACCTATCTTCTTTGAATCACAGAATATATCATGTTGGAAGGGACCCACAGGGACCATTGAGTCCAACCCACAATCACTCAGAATTTCTTGAAAAAAGTAATACCTAATTTGTTTTATCTTTTGCGTGAGAATTCATGGTCTTCGTTCCCTAGCATACCTAGCAAAAGCTTTCTTTGCACTATGGAAGAATGAGCTATCCTGAATTTCTGCCATCTAAAGTTTTCAAGAATAATCAGGTAGGTGTAGACAAAAATACATGTTAACGTTAACTTGTTGAAGTGGAATGAAGAATCTTGTTCTGAGCGTGTTATTTGTTGTTTTCCCTACTTTCTCTTTGACTGCTTGAGGGCTGAAAGATTTGCAGTTATGGAGCCGTTGGCCATTCCGTCTGATCTTTGGTCCAGGGGAGCTTGGAAAAGCTTTAAAACCAACAGCTATAAAGCCAAAAACTGTTGAAGGAACAGAAAGCTTGGTGTCTTTTATGTGAAACATGGCTGCTTGTTTATGCTGCAATAGAACCTCTTACTACATCAGTAATATTTCAGGTTAAATCATTTGCTAATTACATAATAAATAGCCTTCCCTTTGCTTGTAATTCAACTTGTACTACACAAGGAGCAAAGGAAATGTCACTGATGACACTCAGGACTGAAGCAGAAGCCAATACTTTACAGTGTATTATCCTCAGTAATAGCAACCGCATTGGTCACAAGTAGTAAATGGTTGTGGTGCAACTTCTCCCACACAAAAGATTGTCTCCAGTCCAGCAGAGCTTCCCTTGCAGTCTTGTATCAAGAATTTTCCTCAGGTAGGCCTAAGGAGGTCATAGAATCATAGAGTACAGGTTTGTTGGGAGTTGAAAGAGACCCAAAGGGATCGCCATGTCCAACCCCTGGCTCCACACAGCACCACCCAAAATCCAAACCCCATATCTGAGAGCACTGTTCAAATGCTTCTTGAACTCTGGTAGCCTGGGGCCCTGACCACTGCCCTGGGCAGCCTGTTCCATGCCCACCACCCTCTAGCGAAGAACCTTTTCCTAACACCCTGGCCATCCCCTGACACAGCTCCAGCAAGACAGGGGACCTTGGCTGCACTTCACATCATATCCTGCAGACCTTTCACTTTCTTCATAGCCCTCCTTTGGATGCTCTCTAATATTTTTACGTCTTTCATGTATGGTGGCACCAAAGCCTGCATCCAGTGCTGGAGGTGAGGTCAGACAGCATAGATCTGAGTGGGACAGACTTACCTCACCTGGCTGGTAGTGTTGAAGCCACCCCAGCCCTTTTGGTCAAAGAATTTCCATCTTTACTTTTGTTTCCACTGACCCATCAAAACCAATCTATCTTTCTGTTGACTTCTTGACATTCTTTTCTGCTCTATGACTTCTGCTCCCTTCTAGCCACTGCACTACATTTTCTGTTTTATGTTATGTCTCTTTTCTTCCTTATGCCAAAGGGTTTCCATTTGCTTTGGAAGACATGTCAACTGTATTATTCTTCTTGTACACAGGCAGCTGCCTGAGAAAAAATGAAGAGATAGCAAAGCTGTGACTGTATCTTAGTACCTAGCTTGGTGTTTTAGCTCGAACTCTTTTCTTGGGGAGTTTAGAGAAGGCACAGAGGTATAGCACACAGCTTGGAAAAGCAAGGTCTAGCTTGGAAGAGGAGCACCTCAGCTGACCTACCAAAGCCTTGCTTGAGGAGCTGCTGACAGTTACCATCCAGCAGCTGGCAGCATTCACCAGGCTAAGGGCTCAGAGGGGACCTGATGGCCACAGCAAAGTGTGGTGGTACCATGCCCATGCTGTCATCTCACTCCTCCTTTAGCCTTGCTCAGGTGTTTTTCCTGAAGTAGTATTACAAGTGCTGTGACTTTATGCAAGCAGATTGGGTGTATGCCCAGCCTGCAGGGCACTGGATGTATCACAAGAAGAGACTTGCTCTCTACAGGATGCCTACATCTTTAGGACTCACTGCTTAATCATGTAACAGCCAATTTCATGACATTTTTAAAAAGAAAAAAAAATGTAACTCAGAGTTGGAAGAAAACCAGTATACAGCTCCTGTAAGGCAATAGGCTTCCATAGGAGAGCCACTGTAATGAGATGTTGTTGTTGTTTTTTGAGGAACCCGACTTTGTCTGGTCTTTTTAAGCAGTACTTTTTAGTAGTCTGAGACCACAGTATGCAAACACCTTACTTCCCTGAGGTAAAAGGTAGCAAAACTTTATGTGGGTACAATTGCAACTATTTTTGTTTCTGAAGTATTTATTTTTCCTTGTGTCAGACAGAACTAGAGTACCTTAGTGTCTTTACCAATATAACTAGTAATTACAGTTCCTCAGAAATGCCAGAATTAGAAGAATTTCATTGATCAGAAAAAACTGATGGAGAATGTGCAATTCCAGCCATTACAACCACAAAATATCTTCTGCATCTCCTGAGCAATCTCAAAGCCTGAGCTCAAGAATAGAATCCTTGTGATGCTGAGCAGCAGCACCCTCCCCAAGGTTTCTCCACGGGCTGCAAAATACTTTGTTCAGAACAAGCATTTTTATTAGGAATCACTTTTGAATGCTTTTAGGAAATGATTTAATTGCAACCAAACAGCTAAGCTGGTCCCAAATATTGTCTTATTTTTCTATATATTTTTCTTTAACATAAAGCAAAAGTTAAAGCATAAGTAATTTTTATAACTGCAAATCTTTTTTTCATGAAAATAAGAAATCCAGATCATAGAATTATCATGGATGCAATGTCAACTTAACAAACACATGACTCTAGAGGGAGAGCAGTTGAAAGCTGAAAGACCCCTGTCATAAAGTCAGAAATAGAGACAGAAGGAACAGCAGGTTAAATGACATCAAGCTAGATCAGTGAACATATTCAGGAACTTGTGGGAACTGTTTTCTTATGTCCTCCAACTGGAAGTGATGATTTAGCAGTTTAATAGTTAAAATGTGTTAGTTAGAAAAGAAATGTGTATTTATGCAAGAGTCCTGGAAAACCTTAAGGATACTGCAACACTTGCATTTTCATCCTACTTCACCCTTTTTGCCTCCTCTGTCAGCTGAAAAAAATGCAAATGAACACTGTGAGAGAGTTTGTGGGAGGTAATACAGCATCCTTTCTTCAGCTCCTTTTAGCTGGCAATTTTCTGAGCAATTCTGTCTTACAGTAAAGGCCTTACAACAAGACCATGCAATCTAACAGGCAAAACAGCCACCCATTTTCATGCCCATCTAAAGCAGAGGAAAAAGTGTTTCTGTGTACAGTGTCTTGTGCATGAGTCAGTAATGACTTCTGAAAGTCCAAACAACCCACCATGAATGCAACCATATGTGACTACTGCAAAACGAAAATAAGTGCCCTCCATCTAATACTCATTGCTGTGTGAGGAGAATCTCAGCTAATTTAGAGAACAGAAGGAGTCCACCCATGCCCAAGCAGATCTTGCTGTAGCTTATGAGCAAGATAATTAGCTGAGACTGTTTAATAATAACACAGCTTTATTACAGTGCTATCAAAGCTAAGTTAGTTCAGAAGTAGCATGACTTCCTCTTTTATCCTTCCATCTAAACATATTTTGAATATCCTCTTGTTGACTGCAACCATATGGAAGCTGGTTGACTATGAGAAATCCAAGACTAAGAGTGTCTCCAATTTCCTGTCTTCCTGATTTCACACTCGTGCATTTTCCCAAAGTGCAAACACTGCTCATGGTTTACACATAAGGAAGCAAACTTCCTTGCTCAGCAGTAA